TGTGTGTAGTGGTGGTGGCTATGGTGTGTGTGGTGGTGGTGATGGTGTGTGTGGTGGTGGTGGTGATGGTGTGTGTGGTGGTGGTGGTGATGGTGTGTGTGTGGTGGTGGTCTCTGTAGACCACCTGTGGGAATCGGCTCTCCCTTTCCACCATGGGGATCCCAGGGGTCCCTTCAGGTTGTCAGGCTTGGTGGCACACGTGGCGCGTGCCTTTACTAGTTGAGCCATCTTGGTGACCTCAGAGTGTTTTAGAGATGCTGCCGATTTCCGTGGTGTGGGTAAATGGGAAGTTACAGAGGCAAGCAAAACAGAAAGGGCAAGGGGACCCACAGCTGATCCATTCAGGAGGATCAAGGGGTGACGAACTGAGCTGACCCCACAGAGGGCGCTGCCCCATGCAGGAGGGGCCTCTCTCAACTCCTTCTACCAGAAGCTGTGGAGCCTGTCATCAGCGACACTGTGGAGCAGCCAGAGACAGGGAGAGTGGACTCACCAAAGAATCAGAGATCTCCTTGAGAGTCTGGTCTGACCCAACAGCGAAGATGACTTTGCCGTCAGGGGAGACAGTGATGGAGTTGTAGCTACAGGACTTGAGCACACATTCCGTCTCTCTCTTCCCTGTGGACAGGTTCCATTCATACACAGCGCCGTCTGTCCCAGCAGAAATCAGTTTGCTGTCATCTAAGTTCCACACTAGTGAACGAATCTGCAAGGGATACAGACACAACTGGATGAGAAGAGTGTACACACACGCGTGCGTGCACAGACATACACACACATACGTGCACACACACACGCACACATGCACATGCACACTCGGAGGAGATAAACCTGAGGACTCCACTACACTAAAGCAGAATGTCTGTGCCTGGTAGAGGTCTCTCTGTAAGCACAAAACATGGCTTCTTGGCCACATTAACATTCTGTTTTCTAAGATGTAAATGTTGTAAATGCTGAAACAATAGACTCTCATTCCCTTTTCACTTTATGAATGCAGACTGACTTATATTAGTTTCCTAATATAACTTTAACTTATGTGAATGCATGGTTTGGCTGTGGTTACAAGCATCTGCAGAGGTCAGAAGAGGATGTCAGATCCCCTGGAACTAGCTGGAGTTATGGATGGTTGTGAGCCACCACGTAGGTGCTGGGAAACGAACCTGGGTCTTCTGTAAAAGCAACAAGTGCACATAACTGCTGAGTTATCTCTCCAGCCCCCTTTGAGAACCCGTTTAGTTTTGAAATATTCACAGGAAACTGCAAACAACAGCTCCGAGACTTCTAGAAGGAGAGACTTCTAGAGTCAGGGTATCAGCTAGTTGCTCCAGTGACCTAAGTTAACTGGTAAAAATAATCAGAACAACCACTTAGGGCTGGAGGCGTGAGTCAGTTGGTGAAGCACTCGCCTGGCAGGCATGAGGACCTGAGTTTGACTCCCAGGACCTACATTGGAAAAAAAAAAAAAAAAGCCAGGCATAATGGTCCACTCTTGTGACCTCAGCGACCAGGAGACAGAGACAGATGGATCCTTGGTGCTTGCCGGCTAGCCTAACCTGCTAGGTGAGTTGTAGGCTAGTCAGAGAACCCATTTCAAAACCAACCAACCAACCAACCATACATGCACATGAGCACCAATCCAAGTCCCCGGAAACCTGTTTGAAGGGCATGGGACAATGGAGAAGCATTCATCCAAGAACATGTCCCCAGTCTCTGTATGAGGAGCTTGTGGTGTCTGTACCACCTGAAAAGCCACTGCTGTGGACTCCGGGCAGCAGCTGCCGAGGTGACATGCCACCTCTGCTCTTCAGTACGGTTTCACTCTGGGAAGGAAAGATGGCTGACATTTGTTATCCCCAGGATGCAGAGGTGCAGACAGGCATGGCCATGACAGTCGGTTCCTTTCCCTCAGCCAGTCTCACAGGGAGCAGCTCCACTCCAATTGCAGACAGGCCAGGAGTAACGGTGCCTGACTGCTGACGCCCCAGTGCGCTTATTGGTGGAGATTCCTCACTATGAGGACCAGGTGAAGATCAGGGGTTCCTGCCACCCTGCCCCTACCCTGCAGCTTCCACTCAAAGTAGGGGTGCCACTGCTGGGAAAGCAGGTTCAGGGCGTGGTGGTGTAAGGGCTTTGCATCAGGGAAGTGCAGCCACTGAGACAGAGCACTCCGTGGCAGCCAGGGACTGACTTTATTTACAACAGCTTCTGGAGACCTCTGTGCTTATGGGCACATCTGAAACAGTGGAGATCTTGGTGAGAGATCAAAGGGGAGGCTGGTGACTATGACATAGGAAAAAGCCAGCAGAGCGGCTGAATTTCAATAGCGAGATGGTGGGAATCGCTGGGGGCTATAAGGCTGTGTGCCTGTGGCGGGGTGCATCCACTGGGCAGCGATGGGAGCAGGTTGTAGGAAACGCAAAGGCATTTTCTAAGCTACCTGAAGACCCACTGACTCAGGCAGAAGTCTCTCTGGGACAACAGGCTTCCATACAACATCTGACCACAGTGGTGGTGGTGGTGGTGGTAAGCTACCTGAAGACCCACTGACTCAGGCAGAAGTCTCTCTGGGACAACAGGCTTCCATACAACATCTGACCACACACTGAATAGTGAGTTCCTTCACTCAAGGGCGCCTTCCAGGAACCCAGGCTTAACATGTAAACTGGCACTCACTCTTGGCAGCATGGAAGACTATGTTCCTGACTAAGGCTGTGCCTTGTCAGGCAAAACCAGAGAGGGCACATCCAAACTGCCCATCTCTGCAGACCATGGAGCCGAAAACCTCGTGGCCTAAAGCAGCTGCCCCCCCCCCACACACACACCTAGGAGTGAAGGCTAAAAATCCAAGCAGCTAAGTGGGTTTATGGGAAATCTACATGGGCTTATGGGAAATCTAAGTGGACTTATGGGAAACCTATAATTAACAAGTGCCTTAGGCCATCCACAGGCAAACCGAAGGCTCAAATCGAAAAAGAAGAAAAAAGGTAAGAAAAAAATTCTAAGTACGGACATTAAAGGCTGCCCACTGCATAGGAAAAAGGCTTTACAAAATTAGTTCCTCCACTGAGCAAATAAGCAGTCCGTCATCTTACCAACTTACCCGCCTACCACCAGCTCTCGGGAATATAGATCTAGAATTGCTGCAGTATGGTGCCTAGAATAGCCAGCCAATAAGAAGCCAGGAAACACACATGAAGCAAACCAACAAAGCCCTCAGAAACACCGTGCCCCAAAAAGAAGATGACAGGAGTGAGCACGGAGGTGTCCTGGAAGGTGCCCGGACCAGTAAAGACTCAGCTGATGTAAACACATCCAAAGGAGTGCAGAAGCCACGCTTGAGGAATTAAAAGAAGCGGCGATGCGTCTCATCAAGTTGGCGATGCCAAAGGGAGAGAGAGCATTTTTAGAAACTCTAATGGACACCCCAGGGTTGAAAAGTGTAATTGCCAAAGTGAAAATGTCCCTAGAGGGGCTCCACGGAAGATCTGAGCAGGGGAGCGTGAAGGCAGATCAAAAGCCATCACGCAATCTGAAAAACCAGAGATGTTTAAGAAAATCTAACGGAGACCAAGAGAGCCCTGGACAACCATCACGTACACCAGCAGATGTGGGTCGAGAGTACCAGGAGGAGAGAGAAGAGCGTCAGGAAAGAGTTACAAATAAGTATGTAATTATCTGAAAGCAGTCAAAACTTGCTGAAAAACATGAACGCACGCATCCAAGGACTACAGTACATTTCAAGTAGGAGAAGCACAAAGAGATGGACATCCAGACACACCACAGTCAAAATCCTGCAAGCCAACAACATGAAAACCTGAGAGAAAGTCAATTGGTCTATACTAGCAACAGCCCAAGATACCATTTGGTTTTTGTCAGAAAATCTGGAGGGAGAGCCAAAGGCAGTGGGAGGTGTTTAAAGCACTGATAGTCACAACAAGAACCATCACTTTCTGTCTAGCAAAACTAAATGTCTATTTTAATTACGAAGGACACATTAACGAATCCTCAGATAAACACAAACTGGAGAACTGACTGCCCGAAGACCTGCCTTTCAAGAAATGCCAAAGGAAGTTCGTTAGACCAGAGGTAGTTGATCTCTGATGACAATATGACATCACACCAAAGAAACCACAGTGATAATTTCATAAGCCACCGAGAGACAGCATGATTGCAGAGTACATTTTCTTTACTCTCTAACATATGGAAAATTCATATTAAAATTTTTACAAATTTTACAAATTCATCTGTTTCTTTCAGCTATTTGAAAAGACACAATAAAGTCACACAGAGTAGCGATCAAAACAGTGTATTATAAACCAGGTGTGGCAGCACACACCTTTAATCCTAGCACTCCAGAGACAGGGGGAGGTGAATCTCTGTGAGTCTGGGGCCAGCCTGGCCTACAAGTTCCAGGCTAGCCAGGGCTACATGGTGAGACCCTGTCTCAAAACCACACAACCACCCAACCACCACAATGTATTATAGGATGCACAACAAAAAAAAAAATAAAATACAGGCCAGTGAGATTGACTTTTAAAAATAAGATACAGGGCCAGTAGATGGCTTAGGGGGTGAACATGCTGTCAGTCAACTCTGACAACCTGAATTTGATCCCAGGGACTCACATGATAGAAGGAGAGAATTGACCCTCTTCAGATTTCCATACTCATGCCACACACACCCCCACACCCAATAAAAAGTTAAACAAAAATAAATAAAATACATACACTGGAGCTAAGCCTAACAACATCTGAGGTGAAAGCGTCTGAAGCTGTTTTCCTGTTAGCCTGTTAATGCAGTGGATCACACTGGTTGGTTTTCCATGTCAAACCAGCCTTGCATTCCCAGGAAAAAGCCCGTGGGTCACACTCTGTAACAACTGTATGCTGGTAGGTTTCGGTGTTCTGCCGTCTTGAGATTTCTCAGTCCGTGTTCACCACGGGTATAGCTCTGCAGTGTCTTTCTTCTTTTGGACTGTCTTGTCTGTTCTTTGGTAAGGGTAAGACTGGCCTTGAAACTGATTTAATGTGTTGTGGGGAAGAAACTGTATAGAATTGGCCTTAAGTTCCCTTTCAATGCATAGAACACCTGCCTGCACCTCTCCTTCTGGATCTGCCTACCTCTTCCTGCATCAAAAGCCATAAATTCACAGCATTACCTCTAACTTTGGTTGAACACAGACTCATCCCCAGCTTCCCCTCTCTCCACATATGTAGACTGGCTGCTACTGTTTTTAACATTTGCTTTTCCTGTAACCAGTCTCCTGACCTAATGGCTCCTGTTGGTGAAAATGGCTAGTCCCATTTAAATCTTCCGGCATCTTTTTTTTTTTCCTCTTTGAAACAGGGTTTCTCTGTGTAGTTTTGGTGCCTGTCCTGGATCTCGCTCGGTAGACCAGGCTGGCCTTGAACTCACAGAGATCCACCTGGCTCTGCCTCCTGAGTGTTGGGATTAAAGGCATGCACCACCACTGCCCAGTTGTCTTTTGGTGTCTTAATCCTGTCTTCACCTCTAAAAGATATATGTTAGAAGATCTAAAGGTTCTATGCATTGGGGGCCCTGTAAACCTCTCCAATTTCAGTTCACCTGTGTGTCATGACACCTGATACCCATGTTCCATCTCCACAAACTCTTTTTTTTCTTTTTTCTTTTTCAAGACTGGGTTTCTCTGTGTAGTTTTGGTGCCTGTCTTGGATCTCACTCTGTAGACCAGGCTGGCCTTGAACTCACAGAGATCCTCCTGGCTCTGCCTCCTGAGTGTTGGGATTAAAGGCGTGTGCCACCACCACCCTGTCCCACAAACTCTTCAGTGCCTCTGATACTCCATCTGTCTGTGGGGTTTATATTCTCTTATTTTGTTTTGTTTTTTTTGAGACAGAGTTTCTTTGTGTAGCTTTGGAGCCTATCCTGGAACTCTCTCTGTAGCTCAGGCTGGCCTCGAACTCACAGAGATCCAGCTGCCCCTGCCTCCTGAGTGCTGGGATTAAAAGCATGCACTACCACTGCCCAGCTGGGTTTATATTCTCATATGCAATGGCTATCACCACCAGCCCTGTCTGGGTAACCCCTACTCACTGCTCCCAGGACCAAGCCTTTGCAGATATCACAGCTTATATTGAGCCTACCTCTTCAGCACCCACATACTTTTCTTTCATTGATCCAGTTACAATTTGCCTTTGCAGGTATTTTGTGAGCCCTGTCAGGAAAGGAGACTCCTTTGGCTAGCACAGTACATGTCTCAGTGGCCCTTGTCACCCTGGCCACTGGCCACTGACTTACCTTCCCCGTGTGGCCTTTCAGGTTGATGATGTTCTCCAGGCTCGTGGTGGTGAAAATGTGAATCACATTCCCGTTGACCGAAGCAAAGAGGTGACCTCCGTTGCTAAAGGCACACTACAGGGAGGGAGGGGGCAAGAAAGGGGGGCATCTGAGTGGAGCCCAGGGCTCTGGGAGGGGTGGGGGTGGGGAAGTGCTGCTTCCAGACACCACCAACACTCCTGTAGCTCATGGCACCAATACCTTGATGCTGCCTTGTCTGCTGGTCATTACACTGCTCTGTCCCAGAACCGGCCCCACGGTGTCTGCAACGGCACCGTTTCAGGCTGGGGAATGGGATGCTCTACCATCACTGTCTTGCTTCTTCAAGCCACCTGAGGGAAAGCTGATGGGCTGTACCTGCATCCCACTGTTGACACTGCTTCCCTGGCTCCCTCACAAACAACCTCACTTTTACCCTCCCAGCTGGGATGCTCATCTTGGGGTTGCTTTTCTTCTCTAATCTTAACCAAGATGCCCAGCCCTATCACAGATGGAATCCCACAAGGCTTTAGGTCCAGCATATTATTTGGGTGGCTGTAGAAAAGCATGGACAGAACCACGCACCGGCTACTGTTTTACATCTCCAAAGCTCCTAAGACAGACTTTGGTCCCACGGTCTTTACCTCCCTGCATCCTCTGACAGAATATTCTTTGAAAGGACGGATGTCATCGATGAGCAGATTCATGAGACGGAGTTTGTCAGCAAACCCCACCACGATGAAGTGTCCAGAGGGGTGAAGGCTAATGGTGTAGGCCTCTTCTTGGTATTCCTTAAACAGCTCCAGCGTGCTGTGAGAAAGGCCATTATTGAGTTATGAGCTGAATCTCTAACCCTCTCAAGCTCCCCCATTTTATTTGTTTTTGTGTATCTGAGTTATTTTATTGCTTGCAATCACTGTTTTCGGGATTCTGGTTGCTTGAAGATAACGCTGGGCACTGAGAACAGCCAACAGGAAAACTGGTCAAATTACCATCTAGTACTGAACACACAAGCCCAGCTGTAAGTTCAAGAATTACAAAGAATATTAAGTAATTTCTCCCAGCGGTCCCTTGTACACAAGAGTAAAGAAGAATTTGGGTGCAGTTTGGGTTTGGAGATCCTATCATTTTAGGGGGCTGGAGAGGGTTGGGACGGTAAGGAGGAAAAAGAGGAGGAGCCAAAATCTGGAGAGAACGCTGCAGCAAGAGGAGCTGAGAAAGGGATGGGACGGGAGAGCGGGAGGGACAGAGGCATTAACGGATGAGGGTGAGCTAGTGTGGAGTGTTTACCTCTGTTCCTAGAGTCTAGTAGAGGTCTGGCGTATAGCAAACATTTAATAAACCAGAAAGTAATTTTCTAGCCCACACGGGATTGGGAGACAGCTGACTAATTTGGTTTTTTTTTTTTTGGTTTTTCGAGACAGGGTTTCTCTGTGTAGCTTTGCGCCTCTCCTGGAATTCTTTTTGTAGACTAGGCTGGCCTCGAACTCACAGAGATCTGCCTGACTTTGCCTTCCGAGTGCTGGGATTAAAGGCGTGTGCCACCACCACCCGGCTAATTCGGTTTTTAGAACAAGGCTTTTCCAGCTGGAAGCTTCTAGGTCATTGCATTGGAAACCTCTCTAATGAAAACACTGCATAAACAGGCTTAATGATTGGCATTCTATACACACGGTAGTAGCAGAGCCTTGCCCTCCTTACTTTGATTCATAATTCCAGACGCGGATGGAGCGATCCAGGGAACAGGTGGCAATGAGGGGTTTGCGGATGCAGGTAGCTAGGCCAGTGATGGACGCCGAGTGCAATGGGTACAGCAGGTACTCGAAATGGGCAGGCTCTCCCTGGAGAAACCACACAAAATGAGAGCCAGCAGGGTGAGCCCAGGGCTGCCTGTGTCCTTCAGCGTGAATTAGTATCTGGCCTGTGCACACAGAGATCATACTAAGGCAAATTGTTTCGATGTTCCATATGGTTTTCCTAAGATACTGTTATTTTAAAATATTGGCGAGGCCATGGAACCTAGAGGAGAGCCTATTACTGCCTTTTTTTTTTCCTGAATCAGTATAATCTCTAACTGTATTCTTCTTCTTCTTCTTTTTTTTTTTTTTGGTTTTTCGAGACAGGGTTCTAACTGTATTCTAAACACTGACCCTTATACACACAGGTAAGTGCGGCTCTCACCTGGCATCAAAGAACCTTCTTTTTGCAGACAATGGAGAACATTACAGAAACCCACAATGGTCAAAATGCAGAGAACAACCGACCATGGTGTGCCTGCCTCCACCTATACATCTACAACCCAACCCCCACACCTGAGGCCCAGGGAATAGCACAGAAAAGGAGGCGGAAAGACTGTAAGAGCCAGAGGACCAGGATGTGTGCTTTGAGACAGTCTCTTCTTTAAAAAAAGGGGAACAGTCTGGGTGTGGTGGCACACGCCTTTAATCCTAGGCAGAGGCAGGCAGATCTCTGTGAGTTAGAGGCCAGCCTGGGCTACAGAGTGAGTTCCAGGGCATCTAGGGCTACACAGAGAAACCCTGTCTTGAAAAACAAAACAAACTAGATGGACAAACAAAAACTGACAGGAAGGGAGATGTAGGGGAGGGACCTGGGAGGACCTGGGGGGAGAAATGGGGTGTGAATATGATCACGATTTGTTGAAATCTTTATGAAGTCTTCGAATAGTTACTAAAATATTACATACATATATGTATATATACAATTTTAGGGGCTGGAGAGATGGCTCAGTGGTTAAGATCACAGGCTGTTCTCCCAGAGGGCCTAAGTTTGAGCCCCAGCACCCACAAGACAGCTTGCAATGGTCTGTAACTCCAGTTCCATGGGATCTGATGCCCTCTTTTATTCTCCTATAGCAACACACACACACACACACACACACACACACACACACACACACACACACACACACGGTATAAAGACATACATGCAGGCAAAACACCCATATAAATAAATAAAACTTTAAAATTTTCTTATTTTAATGACAACACAAGCCTAGTGTCATAGGCTTTAACCATCTGATTCTGTGGGAACATTTGTGCGGCTTCTAACTTTGTTACTTGAGAGTACACTACAGACTGAATGTTCTTACATATCTTTGTGTATCTCTCATTACTACCTTAGGATACATTTCTGGGGGTGGAACTCTCGGTAAATGCTGTGAATGTTTTCAAGCATCTTAATAAGCAATGCCCAATTCCTCCCGGAGGAGACCGTAGCATGTGATCTTTGGGCGTTACAAATGTCTGTCGTCAGAGGCATTTTCTCTAAGGACAGACGGAAGTGATGGTGGAAAACTGAATGAGGTGAACACACGCTAGGTCTGTTCCCACGCCAAGACAAAGAAAGGCTGAGATGACAATTCCCACCCACTCTTGTACTCTCCCACGCATAAATCTCCACACTCCCACTTCCTCCTGCGTCCGTGTCTGAGACAGAGGCGCTGTGCTTCTCGATTCTTTCTGCCCTCGGTATGTTTGGCAACAGTGTTTCTACCGGCTAATTCTTAGTAGCTTTTAAACATACTCACACACGCCCCCTTTTTTCCCCACAAGGGAAGCAATTCTTTTCTCCCTCTAGGCCCAGGAGCTGTGGAATGAGAGGGAGCCAGTCCGGCAAGCTCATGGTCTCCCTCAGAATCTGCGGCCAGGATCCTCCAGTGGGGATTTAGTATGCTCTGCTTATGCTCTGCAATGTGTTTACTTTCTGAATTTCCACGATAACTATTTCATACTATTTTTTCTTTTCTTTTTTTAAATTTATTTATTCCATATGCATTGGTGTTTTGTCTGTATGTACGTCTGTGTGAAGGTGTTGGATCCCCTCAAACTGGAGTTACAGGCAGTTATGAGCTGCCATGTGGGTGCTGGGAATCGAACCGAGGTCCTCGGGAAGAACGCCAGTGCTCTTAACTGCTGAGCCACCTCTCCAGCCCCATATTTTCTCTTTTCAAACCTCACGGTTTGAATGTGACATGCCCCTCACAGGCTCATGGGTTTGACTACTTGGTCCTCACTGGTGACACTCTTGCAACTGTGTCCATATCTGTTTGATTTTGTTTATATAAAGTATCCAGAAAAAGCAGATCTATGATGTATAAAATAGATCAGCACTTGCTTAGGGTTGAGGTGGGAGGGAGGTGGAGGACGGCAGCTAAGGGTACGGGGCTGTTCTCTTTAGGAGGTGATGAATGTGTCCTATAACTATAACTATAACTATAACTATAACTATAACTATAACTATAACTAACTACAGTACTGGTTGTTCAGCTCTGAATAACAAGGCTACTATAAACCACCACTGGGCTAGAGACGGAGCTCAGTGGGTAGAGAGCTTGCCTGGCATATCCATGAAATCCTGGGTTCGATCCCCAGCACGGTATAAACATGAGAGGTGATGCCCACACAATAGAGGTAGAGGCGGGAAAACCAGAACCCCAAGGCCATTCTTAGCTACCAGGGCTGTTTGAGTCCCTGTCTCAGAAAAAGCAAAGACAGCAATAAAAACATCCCCCAAAATATGACTGAAAAGGATATGTTAAAATCCTCAACTGATGGGCTAGAGAGGTTAAGAGCACCGCCTGCTCTTCCAGAGGTCCTGAGTTCAATTCCCAGCAAGCACATGGTGGCTCACAATCATTGTAATGAGATCTGGTGCCCCCTTCTGTATACATAATAAATCTTAAAAAAAAAAAAAAAAAAGATTGGGGTTGGGGATTTAGCTCAGTGGTAGAGCGCTTGCCTAGCAAGCACAAGGCCCTGGGTTTGGTCCTCAGCTCTGGGGAAAAAAAATCCTCAACTGAGGTTATGGGTGGTCTATTGTCTTCCCTTTGTATATTTGAGTCCATGCTGCTAGGGAACACAGGTCTAAACTGATACTTTACAGACTTTGAAGTGTGCAGCGAACAGGGGGAGCGTCATCTTCCACGGTGCTTTTTTCTTATGATGTCTGGAGTGTTTTATGGTAGTTTCCTTTGCAGCTCCAAAACAATTGAAAAAACAACCACGAAGATGATATAGAAATCTTTGGGCCCTGAGTAAGTATGGTAGTGGATTAAATTCCTTGAAAGCGCAACTGCCAGCAGGTATGTGGGGTTTGGATTTGATAGACAACATCAAGGCTGCACTCCCATCCCCCGACACCACAGCGCTTCTGCACACTCAGCTTTTCTGCTTGCTTGTATGAACAGCGCGCATAAGCCACACAGTTTTGCATGAAACCCTATCCACATGGTGAGCATCCCCTGCTGGGCATCCCAGTGCGGACTGGAAGGGGACTGATGCCCTTGGAAGAAGCTCACCTTGCTGATCTCTGTCAGAGACATGGTGATGGTGTAGAGTTGGTTCTTGCTGGTGCTGGCGATCAGGGTTTCTTCTGACGGGCTGAAGCACAGGCACAGAACGTCCTGTTTGTCTGACTGACTTGGGTCATTGCTTTGTGGGTCCATAGGGATCTGCTCAAGGCACAAAACAGTCATCAGCCATTCTCAGTCATGGTCCCACATTGTCAGCGTGTCCCTGGCTACAAGGGTTCCAGACTCCTGACCCGTCTACCTCCCTGATCTTGCTCGGGTCTGGAGAAGGGAGGACTGGCGTGTCTCTGCTTCCATCAGTTTTAAAGAGCACCACGTATTCCTTTTGCAGCAACTAGCATCTGAACAGTAAGAGAGCCGCACACGTGGGAATGAGTGGGCCAGGCATCCCAATGTGAGATCCCCATGAAGTGCACATTTGTTTAAACCCACTCCAGCTGCTCACCTGTCAGATGCCCAATGCATGGGCTCACTTGGTACCCCGCACACCTGTGTGTACTTCAGGGCATCAAAGGGATGTGGTGGCCCCTCTACAATACGGGCTAGGTAAAAGGGTTCAGGAGAAGAAGGGGCCACTGCTGCCTCCAGCAGTAGGCTTGGAGGGGAGCTGTTGTTCTCAATGAGACATAATAAAATCAGATTTACTTTCCCCTCTATATTAGCTTCTGTTAGTGACAAAATGTGCTGACTGGCCAGCCTACTCAGGTCTTAGTTTCTGAGAGAAGTGGTTCTCAACCTGTGAGTCATGACCCCCTTGCGATAGAATCTCAGCTATTTACATAACAATTCATAACAGTAGCAAAATTATAGTTAGGAAGTAGCAATGAAATAATTTTATGGTTGGGGGTCACCACAACATGAGCGACTGTATTAAAGGGTCACAGCATCAGGAAGGTTGAGAACCACCGGGTTAGAGCCTGTGACATTCCCTGACAAATTTTGGGGGGGGGGGTCTGCTCAACACCAAAGCCTCCGCCCAGACACAACTCCTTGGTGTTTCTACACTCTGTGGGTCCCTGGGGCATGGGACACTGGGTTCTTGTGCATGGCTTCCTATGCTTGGATATAGCCTGGCCCTTCTTCACATGTCCCACATCCCTCACTCCACCAACAAGCCTTCCCTGAGCACCCTGGGATATGGAGACACACATCTCCAAAATGTACCAGTAGCACCTGGGGGCCCCATCTTGTCACATTTATCACACCATGCAAAGTAGAATGGGAGCTTTGGGCTGAGGACCCTGTCCAGCTGTTTCACTACTGTGTCCCAGTGTGTGCATAAGGTCCTGGAGTGCAGCAGGCATGCAGTGGAGTGATGGATGCAATAAATGGGTGGAAGCAAACATGGATGGATGCAATGAATGCATGGGTGTGGCCCTGTTCTCCAAACACAGTAAGTTCCTGTAGAGAAGGGGTCACACCTGACTCCACCATCTCAGCCACCAAACATGGGATCTGTCCCCATGGTAGGTGCACAATAGATATGTGTTAAATGAGCAATGGACTCTTTTGCCTTCTTTATTCTCCTTATTCATTTTCCCTCCCTCCCTTTCTCTCTCTCTCTCTCTCTCTCTCTCTCTCTTTCTTTCTCTCTCCCCTTGCTTCCTTTGTGTAAGGTGTGTGTGTGTGTGTGTGTGTGTGTGTGTGTGTGTGTGTGTATGTGTGTGCACCAATGTGTGTTCATAGATATGATGGCCAGAAGTTGACACTGGCTGTCCTCTTCTGCTGGTGGCCACGTCAGAGGAGCAGTAGATAGCAAATGACTTCAGCAGTTCAGCCCGCCAGAAAGCAAAGTACCAATGGGTGAATCTTCACTAGGCAAGGCCTGAGGGCTCTGGCTCAGGAACATCTCTTGCTACTGCTGTGTCTTTGCATGTTTGCCGCTGCTGTTTTTTGTTTTGTTTTGTTTTGTTTTCTGGTATCTGACAAGGTATGAATGGGTGTGTGGGGGGAATCCCCCATTGCCTTTAATGTAGTGTGATTATCTCATGGAAATATCCCGTTCTACTGACATTTTTATCTGTGAATTACTATGAAGATGATTTCCTCCTAAGCTGTACTGTTTAACTGAAACAATGATTTTATACAATAATAGTGTCAGTGTAAATAGAATTTTGATGATTGAAATGATTGTGACAGAGGTTAGTTTAGTGGGAAAATTAATAAAGGTAAAGGCAGGATATGGTGTTCTCCTCACCCCAATAAAGCAGGAACTGCAGAGGACAGAAAATAAGAACAAGGAAGTGTCACACAGCTAGGACTTATGAGTTTCTCTTGAGGAGCCATATAGACTGTGGCTTAGGTCAATGGTTAAGGAAAACAACCGTGTCCCAGAAGCTAGGCTAGCTCAAGTTCCTCTCATCTTAATGTTGAGAGATGTGTTCGTAGTTTTCAGTGTGCATAACAGCTAAAACAAAGCTTTAAATAATGACTTAAGGTTAAGTTAAGATGTTTTTGTTAATGGCTTTGAGATAGCAAATCTTAGGGAACAATTTAAGATTTAGAAAGGCACATAGTTGAGTGAGGAACTCGTTGAAGTCTAGAAACAAGAACAAGGACAGCCTGGTTATTATTAGCTGCTGTGCCTTTCTTGCTAGGATGGGTTGGTGATCAAAAGTGATGACTAATTTCTTGTACCCATTTCTGCCCTCAGCTTCCTGATATAAAAAAATTGTTAATGAGTGGGTATGTACCCTAAGGATTGATAGTAGAGCTGACTGGTTGTTTTTCACATATAAAAGTGCTGTGGAATAATATTGTATACTGTAAAGATTTGTCACTCAAATTGGTTTAATAAAACACTGATTGGCCAGTAGCCAGGCAGGAAGGATAGGTGGGGTGACCAAACAAAGGATGATGGGAAGGTGGAGGCAAAGTCAGGAGTTGCCAGCCAGACACAGAGGAAGCAAGATGAGAATGTCGTAGTGAAGAAAGATACCAAGCTGCATGGCTAAATATAGATAAGAATTATGGGTTAATTTAAGTGTAATAGTAATAAGCCTGAGCTACTGCCTGAACATTTATAATTAATATAAGTCTCTGTGTGGTAATTTGGGAAGCAGCTGCTGGGCATTTGGGAGTTTCTGGTGGGACAGAAAACTTCTGCCTACATAAAAGTTTAGATGTGATTCTTTTAAGATTTTTTTTATAAGATTACAATTTAAAATAAATAATAAAGTGATTGACCCTTTCCTTGTAACCATAAATTGCAGCCTGCCAGTAAAAGAACTGGCTGAGAAAAACACCTTGCTTGCTTACACTCTGTTAATCTATAACAAATTGCTTGGACATGAATGTATGCGGGTTCTTGGGAATAATTTGTTTTTCACTTGTGATACATAAAATGTTTAATCATGTAAGGGAAATGAAAAGCATCTTATTTTTCACCAGTATTCATTATAGTCATTCACTTGAAAAATAGAACGTAAACCACATTGTAATTTTTATATTGCCTGGGAGATTTTGCTGGGGTACATAGCTGTAAGAGAAAAATTAATGATAAAGGATAAATCTAGATAGAGGTAAGAAAAGAAATAAAGGGATGAGAGAGATGATAGAAAGACCCTCAAGGTGTGTGTGTGTGTGTGTGTGTGTGTGTGTGTGTGTGTGTGTGTGTGTCCCTTTTTTACCAGCCCCAGAGAGTTAAGTTTTACTCCCCCAGTCTGCCAACTCCATGGCTCCCCCTCAATCCCTGAGCTACAGAAGGCTGGTCTCATAGCAGCACTCCTCTATTGCTCTCCACTGGAGTTTTGGAGGCGGAGTCTCTCACTGAACCCAGAGCTCACCGATTGGCTAGGCTGTCTGGCCAACCAGCTCTCAGGATTCAACTGTGTCTGGCCTCCTCCCTCTGCTTGGGGGTTATAGGTGAAAACTACTGCACCTGCCTTTTGTATGGGTGCTGGGGATCTGAACTCAAGTCCTCACTCTCAAATAGCAAAAGCTTTGTCTACTGAGCCATCCATCAAGCCCCTATTTTTTCTATAGTTTTATCTTTTAGGGATTCTATCCTAACATGGGGGGTTTCACTGAAAACAGAGATGGTGTCTCTAATTGTGACAGTAGGAGCGAGATGCTAGGGACTGGGTAGTGGGCTGTGTATGTCAGGACATGCTGAGCATTCTTCCTCTGTGTGCACAGTGGTTTCCCCACCGGTCTCTAAGCCTACATCCCAGCTGCTTTACTTTGCTCTGGTTGTGGATCAAAGGCCACCTTCCTGGAGAGACGGTGCCCAGATGGTTCTGGAACAGAGCCCCTCCAGCTTCTGGGTCTCTTCCTGGCTGGAGTTTCTGCCCTGTGTTGTTCTCATCTGACACACTGTTCATTTTTGCTTCTCTGCTTGTTGAGTCCTGAGCTCGGGCTCTTCACGTGCTGACTATCCCTCCCCCCTCCCCCCCTCCTCCGCCCGCACACCACACTGTGTGTCCAGCCCCCAACACTGAGCCTGCCAGGCTCAGTAAACATTTGATAAATACCTGTGACATTTCTTTATGGGCTAAGTAAACTCTCACTGCGTCAGCCTGTGCCTTCTCCCTCCCCACACTCCTCTTCGTCTCTCCAGTTCCCCTATTTCTGGCCTCTTTCCCAGGCTTCCCACTTCAAAGCCTGGACATCATTTCTGGGCGCTCATTGAGAACACTCCTGCCTCTACCCAGAATTAGTCTTCACAAGGGCAATCTTTCTTCCCCTTGCCCCTGCTACCCACGGCTACGATCTTAGGCCTCACTAGCTTTGGGTTATACCAACCAAAAAGCTCTCCACTGATTCCTGGCTATAGCCATGTGGCCACTGCCATTCTTTGAACACTGAGTACCCAGCAGTGCATGTGGGGATCTACACAGCTTCCCGTCTCATGCCTTTCACCTCTACCTCTCATGGGGGTTATCATATCATGTCTAAACAGAGAAACACAGCTTTGGAGGTTCAAGAGCTCATTTCAGCCAATAAATCACAGAGTTATTTCTGACACCATGTATCCATGGGCAGATCAATTTTTCTTAAACATATTCCTTTCCACCCCAAATCCTTGTGGGCTGCTGAAGTATGTTCCAGACCGGCATTTGCTACCTTTCACTGGCCACGGTGCCCCTCTTTTCCTCTCAAGTGTCATGAGCCCCTTTGTACAGGGCAGCAGGGCATGTCTCCCCTAGGCTGCCAGGGTGTCCCTGCTGAAGCTGCTGTCTCCACCTGGAGTTCCTGGTTATGTCCTCTTGTCAGGTGTCCTCCATGTTCTAAGATCCCTCAAGAGTAGCATCAAACACCAAGGAGCCTTCTTGGCTCTTCCCCAAGCTGCTCTACTATGCCTGTCTCCACAGCTTTCGAGGTTGAGGACCAGGACAGTCTGAGACTTTCCTTGGGACCCTGATGTATGGGAAAATAACTCAGTTCTTTGTCTAAAACCAGGTACATGCCAGCCAAGGCCAGTAATGACCTAGGACCAGGCCTTGGGGAAACCACAGTTTTCTGGGTCCTGAGAACTTGACCCTTCCGCCTCTGAAGGGCTGTGGTCATCAGTCCCAAGGCTGTTGAGTGCTTGATCTTTGATGCACTTGAGATATCCTGTGTTTCATTTGTGCGACATTGCTTGACTAGCTTCCTGTTGACTTCATCCCACTGTACAATAGTTTTCTGTTGACTCTGTCCCACGTCCCCCTGCAAGCTGCATATAAGATGCCGCACTCGTTAACAAACTTGCTTGCATGAGCCATCAGCATAAGAGCCCCTGATCCCAACTTTCCCATCCTCTTTATTTTCTCATCTCCTGGTCCTCCCCCTCAGGACTCTGTCATTGAAGAACAACCTGCTGGTCCAGGTCATTTCTGTATCATTTATTCCATAAACGTGTGTGCTGGGCAGTGTGCTTAATATCGTGGATATAATAATGGAAGGGTTATGGGATATCAGAGTTCAGGGAGGAAGTCTCTTTAATTTGACACATTTCCCCATAGGACTTAAATCCAGATCTTGCTACTTCTAAATTCCAATCCAGTTTCCCGGCTCCTGAGTTTCTCAGGATGGGGCTCGCTGACTGTGTCTCCCCAGTCCTTCCTGATGAAATGCTCTGTCAGAGCATGGCTGCTGAACAATGCCCTCAAGGACCCCGTTTGCTTTCTCCTTACCCGGATTTCCCTGCTCTCTCGGTAGAAGTCCTTGTCTTCCACCTTCTCAAAGAGCAGCACCCTGCCTGGCCCAGCCGAGCAGGCGAACCCCTTTGAATAGGCAGCGATGGCAAATACTTGGGGCATGGACATGTGGTGGGGGTAACTGGTTGCCACCATCTGTTCGAAGGAGGGGACCGGGGAGCTGGGTGGTGGAAATTCGATCAGGCTGGAAAAGGAAGAGAACACATGATGTTTTTTGGAGACAATCCTAAGGAGAAGCATTAAGCTCTGGGGGGTGCGGCGGGGGGGGGGAGGGGGAATGGTCGGCACACAAATTTAATTCCAGGACACAGGCAGGTGGATCTCTGTGAGTCCAAGGCCAGCCTGGGCTACATAGTGAGTTTCAGTATGTAAGCCACATAAGGAGACCCTGTCTTCTGAGAGAGGGGGTGGGAGATATCCTTGGTTGTGAGCGATGCCACCCACGGATCCATCTCCTTTCCCAAAGCCAAATGCTGCTGTCTGGCGTGGGAACTCCACACGGCACGGTGAGTATGTCTGCTGGACGGAGGATGGGGGTTACCAACTTAGTTTAGAAATAAGTGGATCAGGGGACTGGGTGTAGTAAGATAATATAACTGCCTGGCAGAGCTGAGATTTGAACCCAGGTCTCTTTTTCCATTCCTTTAGGCATACAATAAATATTTATACCTGATCATAAATGTTAATTTAGAGTTATAAGGGCTCCGTGAAACCACAGTGTATAAGATCAGCACAGCCCTTGGCCCCAGAAGCTTCAAGTCTCAGGCTCATGTGCTAAGGACTGGTAAGGGGCAGCTAGGCATGCCACAAAGACCTAGCTACAGGCAACACAGGCTTTCTGAGGGCAGGAACTGAGGAGGCGCACCTGCCCTAGGTGAGCAGAGGCCAAGTGCTCTTGGTCAGGCACTCCGGGGCAAACGGGAACCGGTGAGCATGCGTCTGTGTATTGGGGTAGTGAGCAGACAGAACTGCACTGACTGAGCCCACAAGCAAGAAAATACATTGGTCATGCAGGGAACCCAGAGATGAGAGCTGATGTTCCTTTTCAGGAGGGGAGACAGGCAGTGCTGCTGGGCTGAGCTAAGGGGCCTCTGTGCTGGGAGTCCTGGACCCACCAAAATACTGTGCATATAGCACACACAGACACGTGTCTTCATAAAATGTTGTTATAAAATTCCAAGATGTAGTGGCATATAAGGGATGATCTGAACTACCTAATGGAAGTAGTCATTACGAAAGGGGGGAATAATTCCATCAAGACTTCCTTAGGAAGCCATTCTCAAGCCACAAAATAAAGAGATACCAACCAGCATGGGGAGGGATTGTGGGAACTGGGGGACCAGAAGTTACTGAGGAGGAAGAATCCATAGGGTGCCAGGTGGCGGGGAGATTGGGCTCTTGGCTCAGAGAGAAGGAAATGGAATTCTGGTCCCTGTCAGAGATCTTAGGTCTCCGTCCCCTGGTCTGTAAAGCTGGCGTGATGAGGACAGGCACCGTGAAGGACAGGACTCCCACGGCTTTGTCAACAGTGTCTGACACATCCCACAGCAATTCCACTATGTGTGAGAGATGACCACTCCTGTCACAGTGAAGATGGAACCACCCCTCCCCGGTAGCCTTCTGTCAGATCTACTGAGTCCACTTCCTTACCCCTCTTTGCTCATGGTTACCTCCCTTTTGCCTGTCACCGCCTGAGGGCCTGTCAAGTCGCCTTGCACGCCGCAAGGGCTCTGAGGGCCTTTATGTCATGAATTTGGTAAATTAGGCAGCCAGCCATAGAAAACATGCTTTTGAAAAAAAAATACAATTTTGAAGACTTGTCATACTGAACTGTGTATAAAACGAGACTAGGCATAAAAATAAAAAGAGCTGTATGTAGGCCATGGTCATCATGGCCAGGTTTGTGCTTGAATAGAGATGGATGCTGAAAGAGAAGGAAGAAATGGGTATAGCTGGTTTTCAAGGTGAAGGGTGATAAGCGGCTTAAACAAGATTATTTTTAGTTTATGTCTGTGGGTCTAGCTCATATGTATGTAAGTGTGCTGCATGGGTACATGGTGCTTGAAGTGGCTGTCCCCTCTCATAACAGGACCCACTCTAACAGGACCCGTTGTCCACCCCCCCAACCCCCCTAGTTTGCTAAAACCTCGCCCCATATTACCCCACCATCCTATCTATGTTGACTCATGTCTGGCTTCAATCAGACCCTCAGGAAGTATGTCCAGTATGGTAGCCAATTAGAGTCCTACTTGGTCACAAGCAGGAACTGTTCTTGCTATTTTCAGTCCAACAGACCCCTGACACAGCAGACAGACAGACCCCTGACACTGTAGCCACAGTTGCTGGCCAGATGTCATGAGCCAATCATAAAATGACTCCTGTACCAGTAAGAGTCCATACCCAATCACTTAAAAGTCAACTTAACCACAGCTGTAATTCCCCTAGTCCTGCATAAAAGGAGCCTGCAAGCTTCTCTTGGGGTTACCATTTTGCCATTTTTGTCAGATGGTTTTACCCCAGCATGCTGGAATTTTTATTCTCAAGAAATTAAATGCTCTTGTTGATTACTTATGTGTCTGATGGGCTTTTTGTGGGACTTCTTATGGACCCTGACAGTGCCCTCAGAGGCCAGAAGATGGCGCCAGATGTCCTGGAATGATTGTGAGCTGCCATACAGGTGCTAGGAACCAAATCTGTGAGAGGCTTTGGAAGAAGCTCATTTTACGTAACTTGGGCAGAACAATGAGGGCGGGCACTAGCCCAGCAGAGGGCACTGTTACCTCTCTGACTTGTGGATGATATCCAGGCTCTTAGAGCTAGTGGGCTCCTTGACCATTATGTTCGTCTCCCAGCGCTGATCTCCAGATTCAAAGAGACAGAGCCTGCCGGTGTCGGTGCCGGCAATGATCCTGTCATCAGACACCCAGGCATGGGCTAGGTAGTTTGGGGATTCTCCCCTCTGGAAATTGGTTTGCTTTAGGGTTCCTTCAGCAAAACGGAGCAGCTTAAATAGCCCATTTCCAGTGACACAAACTTGAGTATTATCCTGGGGGTTGATGCTGACCTGCAAAATGTCAGGAGACAAAAGAAAAAAAAAAAGACAGTTTGACTCTTGATGCAATTATTCCCACTTTACCAGTTAATACTCACTTTAGGTAGTTCAGAATGTCTCGTACATATCATAGAATCATGGAATTTTATATTTGATAAAGATACACATCTATATCTACTGGATGGGACTATCAGTCAACACACTTTAAAAAGAAAGTAGAATAAACAATCTTTTTTATTTTTGTAGCCCAGGCTGGCCTTGAACTCACTATGTAGCCCAGGCTGGTCTTAAACAGATACTCCTCCTGCCTCAACTTCCCGAGTGGTGTGATTACAGGCATGCACTAACATGTTTTCTCGTCTGAGCAGAGCTATACTCTGTGCCAGCATGAGGGAATGCAGTTCAGTTGGAAGCAGAGACATGGGGTTGAGCCGGTGTATGGAGGCCTGTCCAGGGGGAGGAAAGCACACATCTGGAGGGATGATGTGGTCTTCCACCAGATGAATTTCCTGCAGCTGGAGCCCTTATCCAACACACACTAAGGGCAGTTAACTTGCTGTCCTCACTAGTCAGAGAGCAACTTGTGGTACATTGTGCCTAGTCTCTGTGTAGGTGCCGAGGGGGCACCTAGTAGATGCTCATTGGATCTACTACAGAAGAGGTGCTCTCTGCTCTGGGGAGGGCTCACCACTGGGATACTATGTCCCTCCCTGCTGCCCAAAGGGGCCAGAACCAAGGAGAGTAAGTTTTATATAGCACAGCTGGGTCTAGCCTGTGCCAGGCAGTAGTTCCGGGCCAGGCGAAGGAAGACAGAAGACAGCTGGGAAACAGCTGGCTCTGCCTCTCACCACTTCTGCAGTCTTAGCTGAGTTACTTGGCCTCTTAGGGCCTCAAGTCCCTCATCTCTAAGATGGGGTAATAACCACATATTCCTATGTGCTTCTCATGAAGCCGGGTGTTACAACGCATGGTAGAAATGAGTATAAAGTGCCAAGTAGAAGTCTGGCGCTTACTGCTTTACAACGGGGAAGGCATGTGCCATGCAGGGGGTACCTGGTAGATGGGGTTGTTCTGAACATCAGATCTAACAATGGCCATTACTTTCTGCTTTTCCCATAGCCAATAGACGAGGTTTGACTCTGGAGGCGACGTCTGGGTCAGCAGGTATTTAGAGTCTGGAGAAAAAGCCATGCTGATAAACTTTTGAACTTGGAAGTCAAAATTATTCAGGACTTTGCGCTTCCGGCAAGGGATGGATGACAGCTCATAAATAGTGATGGTAGGTTTTTCCAGCACAGTCTCAGAGATAGCGAGGTATCGCCGATTGGGACTGATGGACAAGGCCAGCATGCCCTGACTCTTGTCTGAGCCTGCAAAAGGAGGTAAAAGGGGGGACTGAGGGCAGACAATGCTTCCATCAAGGTCCAACCAGGCTTAGCAAGGCGCACCACCGACAGAGGAGAAAGGTGTATGATGTGCAAAGATCAGTCCTGGGCCACCCCTTGGTTCAACTGTATGCAGGCAACTGTGGAAATGACTGGGATGGGCACCTCACTAGGTGAGCGAGGATGCCAAGGAGTCTTTTCTGAGTCAGGACCAGATAGGATGGAGGAAGCTGCCCGTGGCAGGAGAGGCTCGAGCAGTGAATGGCTGTAGTAGAGGGTGCATATGGTGGGGAAATCCTAAGGAGATGGATTGCTGGGGCACTGTGTGGGAGTCAGGGGCGACCAGGGATGGGCCGACAAGGGTGGGGTAGGCTCCAATCCTGCAGGCCTTCACACCTTGAGAATCCAGCATTGGGTACTCTACTGCAGAGGCTGGATGCTAGCTACTCAATTGCTCAGTCTGGCAGTTAGGCAGACGCGGAAGTCTATGATGGAGCTTTGTGCTTCCTTGATAAGCAGGAAGATGTGCATACTGTCTTCCCTTTTCCTAGCCAGAAACCCTGCCAGCGTCTTGCGGCCACGCAGATGAAGTGAAAGCTGTGGTGAGGATTAAAGTGTGACACTTCATCCAGAAGAGAGCACAGGGCCGCAGCAGGCCCTACCACGTGGGCCGTGGGCATTTTGCTCTCACGGGTCTCTTCCTTCATTAAAAATGATAAAAATAGGGCTGGTGACTTTTCCACAGGACCGGAGTTGGGTTCCCAGCACCCACATCAGGTGGCTCACAATCACCTGTAACTCCAGCTCCAGGGGGATCCAAAGCCTCTGGCCTTCACAGGCACACCCCTGCCCCCCTGACAAGCACATGCCTCCTGTGCATACATGTACACATAATTATACATTAAAAAAAAACAATAAAAATCGGGCTAGCAAGCTGGCTCAGTGGGTAAGAGTGCTTGCTGCTTTAGTCCACACTAGGATCTTCACAAAACTCACGTAAGGACACCGTTCTCAACATACCTGTTCTTGCACAAGGCATGGCTGTGTCAAGTACCTGCCCAGAAATCTGATGCCCAGAACCCACATGGTAGAAGGAAGGAACAAATATCTACAAGTTGTCTTCTGACCATCACATGCATGCCATGGCAAGCAAGTGTACAAGCACGAACACATACACACATACACACACACACACACACACACACACACACACACACACACACTGAATAAATAAGTGTAACAGAATTGAATAGATATGTATATTATGTACATATATATTCATATATTTGGTGGTTGCACTTACATAGACAGGAATATAATCCAGGCTGGATTTGCTATCATATAATCATTACTGCTATATTCATTTTCTTCCTATATTAATACAAAGTAAATATTTTCAGAGACCCCAAAGTATTGTGGGCCCTAGGCACTGTGCACAGGGGTGAATCACTGTGAATGTGGGTCCCAGACAGGGCGGTTGAGTGGGGTAGAGGAAGATGCACTAGCAGATTGTGGGAGTCCCTCTGGGATGGGCTCCACGCTGCTGATTTCCAGCAAGCTAAGGAGGGATGAGTGAGTGTATTGTCCGCAGCGCAACTGCCCCGCACACAGAACTTCTGCAGGGAGCCTGGAGGGACAGCTGTGTCGGAGAGGAGCGTGGCTCCGGGTTACTGAGAGCCTTGCACAAGGCTTAGATTGCAGTTGGGAGGCCACAGGAGCCACTGGGAACCTTTAGGAAGGGTCAGATGTGCGTTGTAGGAAAATCTCCCCAGCAGCTGTGTGGATGGCAGTCCTGAAGGCAGGGAAACTGGTCAGCAGGGGAAGCGAAGAGCTAGAGGTGGTGGTAGCAATATGCTATATGACGGCAGCAGGAACAGTGCGCATGTCAAAAGGGGTGATTAGGGAAGTGTAAATAGGTAGAACCGGTAGAATCCAGTGAATGACATGGAGGTTTGTGGGCCCTGTGGAGAAGTGGGACACCAGGAGAGGAGTACAGGCTGGACAAGTTAGACTCTGCTGATTTTTCCTTAAAAGGGCCCCTCTGAATCACTGAACTTTAACTGTGTGTATTTGTTTCTAGCTTTTAATGATTTGATTGATTTACATTTAAATTTTCAATCTATCCTGGGCCCATGATGAGAAAGGATAATTACTGAGACTCTAGGGTCTAGAGAGACAGCCCTGAGGTTGAGTGTGGCCTGCTCTTCCAGAAGAACTGGGTTCGATTCCGTGTCCCTGAGTTGGGAAGCTCAAACTGCGTGTAACTTCAGCTCCAGGGGATCTGATATCTAGCCTCTGCAGGCACGGCACACTCATGCACACTCATGCACACACACACACACACACATACACATTAAAAAAAAGAAGTAAGACTCTTTTTTCTTTCTTTCTTTCTTTCTTTTTTTTTTGGTTTTTCGAGACAGGGTTTCTCTGTGTAGCTTTGAGTCTTTTCCTGGAACTCACTTGGTAGCCCAGGCTGGCCTCAAACTCACAGAGATCCGCCTGGCTCTGCCTCCCGAGTGCTGGGATTAAAGGCGTGTGCCACCACTGCCCGGCTAGAAGTAAGACTCTTAATGGCTTCCCATTTCTCAAAGACATGACTGGCTAGCTTAGCACTGAATCCTAATACCACGTGTATGTTAAAGTCACATATTTATATACATATTTACTGGGCTTCTGGGATATTTATGCCTGGGTCTCATTGCTTTGGTAATAAAATGTCTTTAACATGAGTTTGGATATCCAGCAAGGAAAGAACATGAGGAAAGAGGAAATAATAAAAATGGATTTTGGATGTGTACTATGAACTCCATAGTGTGAATATTTGGGGGTAAAAGGATGTAGAAGTTGAGTAAGGTTTTGAAGCTGAGGGCAGAGGCTGGGACTGAAGCAAGGATGGGAGGGAAATGGCATAAAGCCAGGGACACATTCGTGTCTGGAGGAGGCAAGGGAACGTGTTTACACTTGTGCTTTCTACCCGGCTGCACTGTGGGAAGCGTTTTTCCCCCTCATTGACACAAGCCTGAGTACTGGAAAGTACGCTTATCTCTGCTACAGCATGGAGCTTGTGGAGGGCAGGGACCATGGCTTTCTCGCTCATTCATTCATTTGTTCATTTACCAGGGACTGAATACCAGCAGGTGCTTGGCATAGTCATGCCTTGTGCAAGAACAGGTAGGTATGTTGAGAACGGTGTCCTTAAGTGAGTTTTGTGAAGACCATAGTGTGGACTAAAGCAAAATGTCTACAGCATCACTAGGCAACAGAGTCCTCCAGGACCATTGTTGTGACATGGTCACTGATGGCAATCCTTCCATGTGGCCCATGACCAGACTTCTTGACTGATTTTAGCTTGTCAGACATACTGCACTCAGTCCAGTTAATTCACTTATCCTTGAAATACCTCCATCTCTCATCCCCCTTTCTTGGTTCTTCTTCTGCTAGTTCTTCCACGTCTCCTCACTGTAACTGGAGTAGTCTCTGAGCTAACGGAAGCCTGGGAGTCCAAACTGCCCCTTACATTCCATTTAGTTGCTTCTGTGTGTCTCAAGCAGACATGTCTCCTCTCTCAGCCCTTTCTCACTCTGGCTGCTCAAGTGCAACAACTGTGCTTCTGTGTCTGTTTAGGAGGAAACCAGTCACGCCTAATCCAAAACAGACCCCGGACTGCCCCCACCCTGCCTTACACATCCCCTTACCTGATGTTATCAGTCCCCTCTCAAGATGTCTGAGATCCCAGAGAACTCTTAGGTGAATGAGAAAGGAAAACAGGAAATGGGACACACACACACACACACACACACACACAGAGACAAAGAAGACATTACAAACATCTAGGGAAAGATTGTGTACCACAAAAATAAGAAATAAGATCCCAGTGGCTAATTCCTTAGCTACTATAACAAAGCAGAGGCCAAAAGACAATGGAATAAAACCTGTACCCCCAAAATTCTATACCCCATTAAACTAGCTTTTTAAATGAAGATGAAATAAAACATTCTCAAACTAACAAAAACTTGGAGAATTCAGCGCTATGTCTCATCACTAAATGTTGATGGAAAAGGATCCCAGCTGGACTATATGAATTATACCAAGCAACAGTGGCAGAACCTAGTGAATATGAGAGAAAATATACTCAAATATTTTCTTGTATATATATATATATAATATGATGGTTGGTTTAGTGTTAGTAAGTCATATACAAAGTTCTATATTAGATACCAAAAATACATGCTAGAAAATCCATAATCTGTTCACTGAGGGCAAAAGCACAGAAAACTGGGAAAAAAGAATTTATTTAATCTGATATAGGACACTGACATTTGTTCATAGCAAATATCTTTCTTTATAAGGAGATATGAATAGAATTTCTTTATGACCAGAAACATAACGACTAGGAGCATTTTCATTGCTTCTACTTAACTCTCTCAAGATGCTTCCCAGTACAGTGACACAAGGTAAAGAAACCATTATTATTGTAGATGTGTCTATAGAAAAGTTACTGATAGTCCAGCAAATATGCTGGACATAAAAGATAATAAATTCAACTCCCCCCCCCCCGTGTGTGTGTGTGTGTGTGTGTGTGTGTGTGTGTGTGTGTCCGTGTGTGTGTGTGTGTGTGTGTGTGTGTGTGTGTGTGTGTGTGTGTGTGAGTACGCACTTGCCATGGCACACTTGCAGAGGTCAGAGGACACCCTGGGGTGTGGGTCTTCCATCCTGTTTGAGGCAGGGCCTCTTTGCTGTTCACTGCTGTGCATGCCAGGCTAGCTGGGCTACAGGCTTCTGTGGCATCTCCTATGTCTATTTCCCATCTTTCCACAGAAGCAAGGGATGTCAGATGTGTGCTATCACTCCTGGCTTTATGTGGGTTCACTGAGGTCCTCACACATGCCCGGCAAGTGCTTTACCCACTTTGCTATGTTCCCAGCCCGTCAGCTATACTTAATATGGTTTATTCTTCCATAATGTTTACATGGTGTTTGATAACTTTTTTGGAGGGGAGTTGAGACAGAGTTTCCTTGTGTAACAAACAGCTCTGGGTGCCCTACAATTCACTTTGTAGACCAGGCTGGTCTTGAACTCAGAGTTTCTCCTGCTTCTGTCTCGTGAGTGCTGGGATTAAAGGTGTGTGCCACCCCTGTCAGGCATTTGATAAGTTTTACTTCATTAAAATTAAGAATTATTGTTGGGTAATGGTGGTGCACGCCTTTAATTCCAGCACTAGGGAGGCAGAGGCAGGTGGATCTCTGTGAGTTTGAGGCCAGCCTGGTCTACATAGTGAGTTCCAGCACAGCCAGGGCTGTTACACAGAGAAACTCTGTCTTGAAAAAAAAAAAAAAACAAACCAAACAAACAAACAAAAAAACCTAAGAATTATTCTCCATCCCAAGATACCACAAGGAGGAAAAAGCACAGGCTGCAGAAGAGAATTATTTCTAACACACACATCTGACAAAAATGATTAGCATACAGAGTATACAAGTGTGTCCATAACTCAATAGAGCTACCCCTCAAAACGAAACTCACAAAAATAATAGAAAAGTTAATAAAAAGCCATTTAACCTAAATCGAAGCAGGGATATTCCATAAACATGTGAAAAGATACCCATCTTAATTAGCAATACAGACATGCAAGCTTAAACAACACATCCCTTTTTTGATAACTAGAATCTCTCTCTCACACACACACACACACACAAATTAGGAAGTTGAACAACAGCAAGAGCTGGTGAGGATGGGTAATAGGGACACTTATGCATTGTTAGTAGCAACGTAAACCAATACGATCACATTTCTCCGTAATTTTAGTTCTGGCCGTGTGTCCTGGAACATCTTTGCAGACATGTGTGAATGCAAGAATGGTTAATGGTGGTATGTTTCTAATAGCAAATAATTGTTATTTATCACATGCCCCTCAAATCTAGAATGGCTATAGAGTGTGTGTGTGTGTGTGTGTGTGTGTGTGTGTGTGTGTAATCCCAATGCAACAAAATGGACTCAGTTCTATGTGTCAAAATGCATGACTCACAGAAGCTGAACAAAAGATGCTAGCAACATTACACACAGACTATGATTCCATCTGTATAAAATAGGAAAATAGTGAAAACAAAAGTATACTTTGTATACACAGTGTGGTAAATGCAAGACCCAATGTAGTACATGCGTGACCCAAGATGGGCTGGCCGGGGTGGTGGGTTGGTGGTGGGGTGTACTGAGAGGAAAGCAATGGAGAGATGCTGGAAATGGCTGATCCTGGGTGTCTGTGTGCACAGGTCTTCGTGTAATAGTAATTCATTAATGATTACATATATGTAGTGTGGTCTTTCATATTTGCTTATGAATGAATAAATGAGTGGGGGAGATGTCATGAATATCATTGGCTGGCTGGACCAATGTAAACAAAAACAGGGGTCAGGTTCTAAGGAAGATAATTTGTGACTTAGGATAAGATTTCCAGTGCGTCCACCGCACAAGGACTCAATGAAGGTGCTGCGCTCTTGAAACTGTTAGACTCAAAAAGGGGTTCTGGTGAGGACAAACCGAACTGCAGGAGACTAAAGAAAAACACTCTTTAAAGTAACTTCTGTGAAGTCACAGTGAAGAAATACTTTTAAAATCAGTGTTATTTTGCATGTCATTTTGACTACCTGTGTCAGGTTAACCCATTATTAAACAGTGCAAATTGACATTTATTTTGTCTACATTTATAAAAACTACATGTATATCCCAGCTGTCAAAAAAAGACCTCCCTAATCGTCAAGACTGTGTGGTCCTGTGTAGCACATGCCTTTAATATTTGTGACAAGATGGGAAGGGTTTCTTTTTCTTTTTACCTGGAATGAATTTTTGCCATTTCTGATCCAGATTGTACTTCACACAGTGATTTCCTGAAGGAAATATAATGATCTGTTCATCGAAGAAGAAGATATTGTTGGCCACGTGGGCACGAAGACCAAAAACATGCAGCGCCTGAGCTACCACGGTGGACATGGTACCTGTCAGAGAATGCTGCTGAAGGTGATCAGCAAACAGGTCAGAGTGGAGAAGCGCATCGCATCTCCCCGCCCCGCCCACGGCCCCGCCCGCCCACGGCCCCGCCCCAGTCCTGAACTCCGCCTTTGGCCCGCCCCTCCCTGAGTCCACCTCACCCCTCTATCGCCCCGCCCCCAGATTCCTCTCCTCGTTGCCCCGCCCCCAGACTCCTCTCCTCGTCGCCCCGCCCCCGCGGCTCCTTCCACGCTTTGCCTTTCTCTCTTGTTTTCTCAACGACCCCAGGCTCTTCGAAGGACCCCAGAGAAACCTCTCACCTCTCTCTTCACGACTCTGTGTTACCAGACCACGCAGGGATCCGCAGGTACTCCTTCTAAAGATCCGGAGTAACTTAGGCACGCCCAAACGCCACAGCAGTTCCTATAGCAACGAGAAACCGGAAGTGCGGCTCTGCAACCGGAAGCGGAAGCCCGGGTCGAAAAGCCTGAAGCGAGTGGAGAAGTTGTTGGAGCTGGTGTGTCTTCAGGGCACGTGGAGTGACGGGCTCACCCCGCGGGAGTGGGAGACCGCGAGATGGATACCCCTCCGCTCTCAGACTCGGAGTCGGAAGAGTCCCTGGTCTCAGACCGGGAGGTAGGCGGCAGCGGGGCTCGCGGGGCAAGGCGTGGGACGGGAACTCTAGCTCTGTGGTCCTGACGCGCCCGGGTCTGTAGTTGCAGGATGCGTTTTCCCGCGGACTCCTGAAGCCAGGCCTCAATGTTGTTCTAGAGAGGCCGAAGAAGGCGGTGAATGATGTGGTGAGCTCGCTTGGGGGTCGGGGTCCTTGGAATGGGGTGTGCACAGCGCCGTGCTACTTGGGAGACAGATGTACCCTGTGCCTTGACCAGGCGGTCGGCTTCATGTGCTGGTGTTTGAGCTTAGCACTTTGGGCTTGAGAGAGACAAACTCCTGTTCTCATTGCACCCTGTCTGACTTACCTAGAATGGTCTGAAGCAGTGTCTGGCTGAATTCAAACGGGATCTGGAGTGGGTGGAAAGGCTCGATGTGACCCTGGGTCCAGTGCCGGATGTCAGTGAACCTCAGCCAACACCCCAGAACAAGGACCAGAAGAAAGGTGTTAATCCAGAAGACGACTTCCAGAGGGAAATGAGTTTGTATGTTGTGTTATGGGTCCTGTGATAGAGAATCACCGGAAGGGGAACGTAGTATGCCTGCACCCTCAGAGGTTCTGGGGTTAGCACGAACCTCAGAGTGGAGCTAGGGTTCCTCCTGCTTGAAAGACTAGCTCCTTGGCCATCATTTAACCAGAGCCCTGCTTGAGGGCTATTCCAAATAACTCATTTAAAGTTTGTGTGGGTGCATCCAGTCATTAGAACAGACCGCCTAGGGACGGGTTGTGAATGGACTCTCTGTAATGATTGGGAAAGAGTTCATAGTTTGTGTGTTAATGGTACCTTTAGTAAGCCCATCGTTTTAAACACCTGATTGGCCTTTAGAAGTATTTCCCCCTTAAAAATGAGTGTCAAGTGAGATTTCTGTTACATATGAAATTAGTGGAGTTTTATCGAAGCTTTTGTTCGTTTTGTCTTGCTAGTGCCGGTGGGATGTCCATAGTCCCGAGACCGGTTAACTCCTGAGAGGCAATGAGAAATGGAGGCCTTTCTTTCTCCACCCCTCATTTCACTCTGTCCTGCAATTTCAGCTACCGCCAGGCCCAGGCCGCAGTGCTGGCCGTGCTACCCCGGCTCCATCAGCTCCAAGTCCCCACCAAGCGACCCACTGATTATTTTGCAGAAATGGCCAAGTCAGATCAGCAGATGCAAAAGGTAAGAGACAGGCAAGTTGTCCCTCTGGAAAGCCAAGTATGTCCGTTCAGCTGGCTCATTTCCTGTGGTCTTTAAAAAGGATTTGTGCCGGCTGTAATCAGTATTTTAGATATGTAATTTATTTTACTTTATTTATTTATTTTTTTATGTGCAGAGGTGTCAGGGTGTCAGATTCTCTGTAACTGGAGTTACAGACAGTTGTGCTGCCAGGTGGAGGCTGGGAATTGAACCCAGGTCTTCTGGAAGAACAGCCCATGCTCTTAACTGCTGAGCTAACTTTTTAGCCCCTGTAATCGGTATTTCTAAAGGAGAGTCTTTGCTGCAGAGGCACACCAGTCACTTAGATAAAATAGGGAGAGAAGAGCTGGAAGAAGTGTCCCTGCAGTAAAGAAGGCTTGAGTATTTCCTTCCTGGCAGGGTTAGTGGCATGGTATAGAGACACAATAGTCTTGTAGTTCTGGGCTCAGCATTGCCAACAAGAACACTGTTGCTTGTAGACAGGGTTTTCTTCTCTGGGCCTCTGTTTTCTAGAAAGTGAGGGGTTGATGTATGGCTCAGATAGAGTGTAATTTAGAGTTGGGAGACTTGGTCTTCATCTAGCTTTGGGAGGAAAAGACTTTGACATGGAATCCAGGATGTATTTAAATTATTCATTTGGTCTCAGTCTTCATCTTAAAGAATTCCAGGTGGCGCCCCAAGAAGCTAACCCAGAGACAAGCCCAGATAACACCTGACAATCATGCTGACGACTGCTTAGGCTTTCAGTAAAACGTGTGTGTTTGATGGCAGAGGCGAGGAATCAGTGTGCAGGAAGGAGTGTGATTACATGTGTGGCCCGTTAGAAGAGGGCACTGAAGTTTAGCCTTAACCTGTAAACAGGGCGTGGGAGATACAGGTCTTGTCTGACAAGCAGGCAGCTTTGTGTAATAGAACAAGCATGCTTGAAGAGGCAGGGCCGCTTTTAAGCTCTGGCTGCACCCTGACACTTTCGGTGCCTGAATAAAGGCTCAACTTTGGGGCTGTATTATCCACCTGTGGAAAACTAGGAAAGTACACACGCTCCACGGCTTTCAGAGTTAATGGACTACTGGAGCCTTGGTCTGGTGTGCTCCGTACAGTAGCTGACAACATCCTGTCTTTTAGATCCGACAGAAGCTGCAGACTAAACAGGCTGCCATGGAGAAATCTGAAAAGGCCAAGCAACTTCGAGCGCTTAGGAAGTATGGAAAGAAGGTGAGAAAGAACACCTGCACAGAATAGGACAAGGCAGGAATGCCAGGTCGGGTGGCTGTGATGTGATCTGGTTCTGGTCCCCTGTGAGTTTGGTCCTTACTGGTTTGGGTCTTACTAGTGAAGTGGGTCTGCTGGTTTCCCTGAGCTCAGGTTCACTCAGCACCATGGGACACCATGGCCCACCCAACATAGTAGGCAGCAGCTGGTGCTCTGATTGGTAGTCTTTGGAGTTGTGGTTTGGGATGCATGCCTGACCACAAGGTGTCTGTCTCACAGGTGCAGACTGAGGTCCTTCAGAAGAGGCAGCGGGAGAAAGCACATATGATGAATGCCATCAAGAAATACCAGAAAGGTTAGTGTCTGCTAAAGGTAGGGGAGCCAGGGTATCAGGTACTTTAGAGCTAAAGGAATATAGTGTCATTTAGTGCTTTGCAGTCATCTTGCTTTTAATCTGCTGGGCTTAGGTTTGGGGAATGGTGTAGGGAATGAGGTGTGCTTCTTAAGGTGCATTTAGGGAATAGCAGCCATGTCTTGAACGGTCCTAGAAACACAGTGGTGCTGATGGAAATGCTTCTTCCTTCACAGGCTTCTCTGATAAGCTGGATTTCCTCGATGGGGATCAGAAGCCTGCCGAACGCGGTGCAAAGGCAAGAGCTAAGGGCCAGCAGATGAGTAAAGGGTAAGGGCTTCAAGGTTGGTTTGTCTTGTCATGGCTAACAGTCAGTGCGGTGAGGGGGCTCCCCAGGGAAGGCCTCCCGGATAGAGTACCGTTGCTCAAGGGGTAGAGACTTTGATGCCATGGGATGGACCTGTGGCCACAGGAATGTTTGAAGGGGGAAGTTGGTACTTGGATCATTTGAAAAGAGCATCAAATGACTGTTTTACTTCCTGACTCTCAGAATGATGGTGGGCAGTCCAGCCCGAGGACTCAGGTCCAGGTCCAGCCGCTCATTAGGAGGGAGGCTTCGAGTACCTCCTTCGTTGTTGCTTTATTTACTGTGAGGCAGTGGTGTGTGCCTCAGTGCTATGAAGATTGAAAGGGGGTTGGGGGCTCTCTGTGCCCCTTTTCAGTCTCACTTTCTGCACAGGTGGGCACACATTTTGAAATCCTAGCACAGTCTGGGGATGGCTTCCCGGTGGAGGACCGTCCCACCTGAGTCTAATGTGAAAGCCGTGAACATCTGAGCAGGAAAGTGGGAGAGAAGTGTTTGAGGAAGAAAGAACCAGCAGAGCCATAGAGAGGCATAGTGAGCCAGTGGGCTGCGTGTGAGGGGCAGCCTGTGCTTGCCCTCACCGGAAACACTGTGAGGCCAGCAGTTAGGGAGCCTTCGTCCTGTTGGGGACAGACACCGGTTGGCTCAGTTTTTTATGACCAGGTCATGTGCCCACTTTGAGAAGGTGACAGGTGTGTGTGTGTAAATAAACGGCAGCCAGGGAAGCGGAGGCTTGACTACATGACAGCACAGCAGCCCCGCCGGGCAAGGGTAATGGCTCAAAAGTGCCGGGTGCCGTGTGGTGGTGGTGCACGCCTTTAATCCCAGCACTCAGGAGGCAGAGGCAGGTGGATCTCTGTGAGTTCAAGGCCAGCCTGGTCTATAGAGCTAATCCAGGACAGGATCTAAAGCTACACAGAGAAACCCTGTCTTGGAAAAAAAAAAGTGCCTTGTTCAGGGAAGAAAAGTGGGGTGAGGGCTGATGAAGATGTCAGAAGAGCAGGGTGCTGGGCAGGTAGTAGAGACCCCAATCCTGGCATTTCCACAGGAGCTGGAAGAAGCCCAGGAGGGGAGGTGTGGTGGTTTGGCTAGGCTGAATTTGGCGTTTTTTTTGGGGGGGCGGGTTTTTTGAGACAGAGTTTCTCTGTGTAGTTTTGTTGCCTGTCCTGGAACTCACTCTGAAGACCAGGCAGGCCTCGGACTCACAGAGATCCACCTGACAAGTTTTAAAGTTTATTACATCTGAGTACTAACTGTGGATTTGTCCTTGAGAAGTAGAGACAGCTAGGGCTGAACTAGCAGGATTGCGTTCAGATGGATGCCAGCAGTGGAAGCAAGAGGCTGGATGGTGCTGATGGAGCCTTTTCTGGGTTCTCCTTCTCTGGAGTTACTTTTTTTTTTTGTTTTTTTTCGAGACAGGGTTTCTCTGCGTAGCTTTGCGCCTTTCCTGGAACCCACTTGGTAGCCCAGGCTGGCCTTGAACTCACAAAGATCCGCCTGGCTCTGCCTCCCGAGTGCTGGGATTAAAGGCGTGCGCCACCACCGCCCGGCTTGGAGTTACTTCTTAATAGATGAGTTTGCCTAGGTGGTTTGTAGAGTGAAAATGTAAGGCCAAGAAGAGACCCGGGACAGCGAGTGGTGCCTAAGAGCTTTGCAGAAATGAGCCTGCGCCTG